CATGATTTAATTTTTTCGATCTACTCAATTTCTTGAAGCACAGTAACTAAAATAATGACGATCATGTCAACTTTTGCTGTGCCGATAGGAAGATAAATCATGTGGATGCTGTGTTGGTAGATTGTCTCTTTGGCATATCCCTGCTTTTCGATATATTGACTTATGTCAACTAGAATTTAAAAAAAAAACATCAATTCTCAAAATGACAACCTACTCAATAGCTTCAGCACAAACTAAATCACCCAGACAATAACTTCGGCAATAATTCCAAGTAACAACTTGCAAGCGACAATTAAATCAACATCTAATCAACTTAACGGCACCAACGATGATATAGTCAATAGATCTCAATCTGGTACCAGTACCAATAATGATGTTTCAATAACAACCAGCATTAACTACAGCTTAACTACTCACCTACTCATCAGTACTAACGATGATCTACTCAATGGCTTCAATTATGAATAATCAACAACAGCAACTTAACTAGTAACCTATGTTGTGCGAATTTTTGTTAATACGTTGTGGGAATATTCTATAATTACATTTATCATAATAATTTGTCAATAGATTTTTCTTTGATTAATAATGCACTGTAACTAAATCAGAAATATTGTAAATATACATTTCAGTTAACTCGAGCATCGATGCTTTAATATTAGAACAATCAATGATCTCGTTTTCACGTTTAAGAAGAATTTGATTCAAAGATGACTCTGAATAGGATATATTGTGGATCGACCTATAGTATTCCTAAAGAGCTCAAAAATAATTTGTTATTAATAAAGTGGGAGAATAAGTAGATAGATAGTAAGATAGAAAGGCTAGCGAAAAGCATAAACTAGTAGAAGGTTGAACACACAGTTAATAGAATGATTCTAATAACCCTAATAAGTATTTAAAGCTAAATCAAGCTACTTACTTATTGCACTCCCAATTATGAGCACTATGCAGAACAAAATAAAATACAACAGTACTATTTATATTCTAATCATTTACCAACAATGACAGTACTAATGTGATAGCTCCAGCAGCACCTAAACAAAATTTAATCAGAACTTAATAAAAAAGAAATACAACAGTATGACTACGACTTAATTACTTAACAGTAAAAGCTTGAACACTAGCAAAAGTCTAAACAGCCTCCAGTAACTATGTAATCCTGTTTTCCACTAATATGATCTAATCCTCATTATATTAGCTAGTGAACGCTTTATATTTCTCCTTTCGATATTTAGCAACTATATATCAAAAACCACGGTGCCAGGATAAAAAAAAAAAAAAGTATAGATGCTGACAATACTAGGAATAAAGGAAAAAAGCACGGCATGAATGACGACTAGAGAAATGGTGAATAGGTAATAAAAAAAAAATTAAACATATGCCAAGAATTTAGCCCCTGAAATTATTATACATAATACAATTATCAATCTGGTATGATAATTTTTTAGAGGCTAAGTTCTTTACCTGTTACAGTAAAAAAACTTTAAGTTTTCTATATACACCTGTGTAAGCTATTGGGCAATACTATATAAAAGGTTATAAATAAATATACTATGTATATACTCTATAAGCTATCGTATCGGGCAATATAATAAAATAAAAAGTGTACAGTATCAGTATTGTTTATTTTTTTTGGCTTACAATAAGGCCATTCCTATATATTAACGCCAATAAATAATACCAATACCGTATCAATACCTATCAAATTAAGCAATTTATTAAAATCAGGTCCCTTCTGATTACATGCCGAATTGCACCAAAAATCGACATCAATCGGGATTAACTATTTTTTAATTTTATATAAATCAGGTTGCTGCATAAATTTGCAACAATCAGGGCTATAACAATTTTGCAATTTAATAACAATCAGACATATATCAGTTTAGAATAAAACATATGCCTGATTTTTTTGATTTTGACTAGTGTTATCATATGATCTTTGGTATTTTTTTTTTGGCCAATAATATTATTTTTGTGATTTTTTATGATTTTGCCAAAAATTTTGATAAATTTTGATTAAATTTGGTCAAATTTTGAGAAATTTTGATCAAATTTGGCCAAATTTTAAAAAATTTTAATTTGCTCCTAAAATTTCAATTTCTTTTAAAAAATTTCTTTCAAAAAATTTATGTGTCCTTGCTAGACATCTACCAGATCATGTGAGTTGCATTTATGAATATTATATATACATAAGCTGTTAAAGTAAAATTTTTCAAACAAATTTCTTAACAACTATATAATAAAACTCAGATAATTTTTTTTTATATTAATTCTATGAATTAATAGAATTCATTTAAAAAATTTTATCAAATTCTAACAAGTAGTTGTCAAGAAGTTTTGAAAAATTTTTACTGCCTTCTAAAAAAATAGCCACAGCAGAAATTTTTTAACTTTGGAATTTGATAAAAATTTTTTTTAAATGAATTCTATTATTTTATAGAATTTATTTTTTAAAAAAATTATATCGAGAAATTTTCGGTCAAAAAAATTTTTGCCTTAGCAATTTTAGAAGGCAGTGAAAATTTCTAAACTTTGAACAACAGAATTTGATGAAAATTTTTTAAAAAATTCATATCAAATTTTATTAAATAGTTGTCAAGTAATTTTTGATCAACCTTTAAAAATTTTAGCCGTGGCTATTTTTTGAGATGTGAAATCCTTCCAAACTTTGATCAAAAATTTTTCAACAACTACTTGATATAATAATTTGTTGAATTTTTTTAAAAAATTAAATTCTATTAGTTTATAGAAATTATTTAAAAAAAATTCTATCAAGTTTTATTAGATTGTTGTCAAGAAATTTTGTCCAAAAATTAAGAAAAATTCTACTTCAATAGTTTATATATGTATATATATATCATGATATTTGGTAAATGCGAATTCATGTGATCTGGTAGGTATTTGAAAACAATATTTATCTTATCTGTTATGTATTATATAAATTTAGATTTAGATATTTTTTAATTTTAAATGAATTTTAATAAATTTTACAAATACATTCTACTGTATTTGCAATTTCATTTGATAAAACTAATTATAACACTAATTCAGTCTGTTTTTAAAAAAACATCCAATTGCTTATAAATCGACATAACAATAAATAATGCCTATACTAGCCCCTATACTCCTAAAATTGGCCTAAGTAGTAAGTATTATCATTATTGTTATAATTAAAACAATATAAGATTTTTTTTTATTATAAGTTATATATCGTAAGTGAGAATAGAAATTTAAGTTGATTCGGAATTTAATATTCCATTCTAATCTAAGAGGATTTCAAACCTATTATGATTTCATTCCTACTTACAACATAAGTTATATACTGTAATAAAAAAAAGTAAAAACTTTTTTCAAACAAGTTATAATATTTTGTTTACATGTGATACTGCAATGAAAATAATATTGAAAACCTAAGATGTTTTCATTTATAGATGTGTGATAGAAAATTTATTTGCAATTAGAAAAGCTTATAAATCAACAGGAAAAATTATTTTCACTATCTCTACACAAATACTTTACAATCCTATTTCAAGAGCTTATGTATAATGAATAAAAAGAAAATTGACAAAAGGTAAAAGAATAACCGTTAAAAAAATTTTTAAGTTGTACTATTTCTGAATTTTAAAACAATAAGTGACGTATTTATTTATTTATTTCAAAAAAAGCGACGTACAAATTCTATTTTTTAAAAAATAATTGCTTACCGATGAATGTTTAAACTCCCACTTAATTTGGAAAAAAGTTAATTCTGAAACCCCCCAGTTTTACTATATCCACATTCTACATTTGAGTGCGTGAGAATGAAAACAGGAAATAAAATTTAACCAATCATAAATTTTATTTCCTTTTCACTCACGCACTCATTTGTGTAAAAATTTAACTCCAAATATAAAAAAATTATTCGTTCTTGAGTTTGTATTGTCGTATCTGGTATTAAATATGATAATCACATAGGTTAGACGAAAACAATATCGAAAAGTTTGACACTCTAGAAATAGTTGCAGAAAATTACCAATAAAAGTCGGATTTGAAAAATTCAATCGATAAATTATCATCGTTAATTTCTTTTATTCGTATATTGCAAGGTTCGAAAATAGGATTAAAAGTTTGTTTAGATATAGCGATAGCAATAGTGTTCTGCATAAAGTATTGGGTGCAAAAGCCTGTTTTAAAGGCCGGATAGGTGATTTCATTTTTTATTACCGTTATTATTATTTATTCTAAGTTAAATTGAAAAAATTATTTTCAATTGTGTAAATATTATCTAATCTGACCCGATTAAATTAATTAATTATCGCATTGATATCACATGGACAAGTCACCTTTATGATTGAAAAGCAAACCAAAGTTTTTAACAATATATCTATATAAGGGTATATAGTATACAAGCTAATATGACCTACTCAAAAAAATTTTTTATACACATGTGTATACTATACGCTTTTTTTTAAAAAAAAATTTTTTATACGTCTTTTATGGCATTAGCTATGCTATTATTTGCAACACCGGAAAAACTTTAAGGATCTCCCCGATGAGTTAAAATCTAAAACAAGAAGCTCATATTACTAATAATGGACGCGTCATTTGCGTTCTGACATTGTTCTGACATTGTTTTGATATATATATTTTTGTAAATAATATTCGGCACATTATTTACCAATTACTTATAAGCTGATGGAAGACCTCCAATTCGTTTCATATATAAAAAAAAAAATTCGATCTTTATACAAAATAATGCTGAACAAAGATTAGTTTCGATCTCAAAAAGTTTATGATGTACAAATTATTATAATAAATATATAGAGTAGACACTCCTATAACTAGTAGGTTAAATTGGTAATCTTATAAGAATCAGAGTGCCTATACCTAAACAGTGACAATAATTAGATTTCTTTAAAAAAAAAATTACGTATACCTCGATATTCAAAATTTTAAATAATAGATATATGAATAGAAAAGTCATATATTATTGCTTAATTGCATCTTTAATTTTCTTTATGGTAGGACTGGCTCTGGTTATTTACTTTAGCCTTTCACCTGTCTATTCACCTACATCAAAAACCACTACTCCTCATTTAACAGTTTTTTCTTCCCAAACCCATAAAGTTACTCTGCAACCGACGACTTCCAACCCTAACCTTCCTCCTGCGAATCCCTCTAGCTCTAGCTTTTCATCTGTCTTTCCACCTACTTCTTTCACACCGTCAACTCTACAACCAACTCTACAACCAACTCAACAACCACCACAACCACAACCACAACCACCACAACCACAACCACTATCACAACCACAACAACAACCACAACCACAACCACTGCAAACACCGCCAAATCCTAGCCCTAGAACACCTGTTACCTTTGCTACCACTATACCCATATCTTATACTACTACAATACCCATATCTTATACTACTACATCCACATCTTATACTACTATGCCCACATCTTATTCTACACCTGTAGTCCAATATCTTGATACAGGAAAAACTGCGATTGTTATTTTATCTGTTTTTACTGGACTTTCTTGTATTAGTTCTGCTATTTGTATTTATATTCTTTGCCGTTTTCACATACCAAATCAGATAAGTACAAGTACAATTCGAAATAACCCAATTGAAGATTAAAACATGTGAATATAACAGGAACTAACACAATAAGACAAAGAATTTGAAATTACTAAAAAAACCGACATATCTACTAATTCTAAACTCTTACAAAATTGATAGGGTTACAAATTCGATAATTCAATTAGTCTAACCATTTTAGACTGTGGTTTCAAATTTTGCGAAATGTCAGACATTTTTTTATTTAGAAAATAATACAATTTTAAAAAAAGTTTGGGCTGGTTGGTTTTGATTCAGTTTCTTCAATGGTCAAGGAAACACGATTTTCCTTTAACCCCTGGAGCCGTGTTAGACCAAATTGATCATTTAACACTAATGAGAATCCGATTATAACCGATTATCACCGATTATAGTGTGATCGGTTACAATCCTTAACATATCGTATGATGATGATCCGGTTAAAACCGGTAGGTTAGGACCGGCTGCAGAATATACTACTAAATGAAGCACCATACATATCGATATTTAATCAGAGTTATCAAATCTTTTTCTCTCTTAGTATTCTAGTCATAATGTCTGACTTAAAAAGTGAACAAAACGCAGATAGCTCTTTTAATTTTAATGGTTCGAATGGCCAGGAATTTCTTACCAGACCTGAACCTTCTGATGTAGGTTCAAATCCAGAAGAATCTCAACAATCAAGCGGAGGTCCTATAAGAAGAAAAAATAATGCAAAATCTCCCATGGACGAGTTCTTTGAACGAACAAAAGAATCTCAAACTTGTAAAATATGTAAAAAAATGTATGCCGGAATTGGTGAAACTTCAACTGGTACTTTAAAAACTCACTTACGAAGGAATCATCAATCTGAATTTGAACGAGGTGCTCAACAGACTGATTTTGAACGAAAAACTCGAACTACTTTAAATTTTCGGAAAGTAACTCCGTATACTAGACAAGATAATTTTGAACGAAGTAGATCTTTGATTAATTGGATAGTATCAACAATGCAACCTTTTTCTGTTATAGAGGAAGAATCTTTTATCGAAATGATAAAAAAACTTGATCCACATTATCATTTACCAAGAGGACAGTATATAAAATCTCATGTTATTAAAAGGTTTCAAAATCGTCGTGAAAGATTACATCATGATTTAGGAAATATTAAAAGTAGGATATCTTTGACTGGTGATGTGTGGACTTTGGATAGCAATCAAAGCGCATATTTTAGTGTCACTATTCATTATATTGATGATGATTGGACATTTAAACGCTTCTTATTAGATATAATTCCATTTCATGACTCTCAATCAGGGGCAAATATTGTTCAATCTTTATCTAATTTGTTAACTGAATTAGATCTTTCTCCAAAAATACTAGCATTGACAACAAATAATTCACCTTCCACCATTGTTTTCGATCATGAAATGGAATTGGAAACGAATAAAGAATTTAATAATCTTGGTTTTTCACATTATCGTTGTGGTGCCCACGTTCTCAATGTTGCTGTACAGTATGGACTTCAAGCTCATAATAATTCAATTGAAAAAATTCGAAAATTTATTAACAAAGTCAGAAATTCTAATCTATTGATTGAAGATTTACGTCGTATATTCGAGGATCAAAAAATACCATTTTTGGTTCCACAAATCGACAATGAAACTCAATGGAGATCAACGTATTTGATGATTGAAAAGGTAAAACAAATGCAAATACAAGTGAACATGCTTTTCTTACAACATCAAGATGAATTTATCGATTCGTACCCTGATGATAATGATTGGTCAAATATAAATGTAAGTAACTCTTATTTATAACATTTATATAACATTTTTATAACATTATATAACATTATAACATTTATATAACATTTATATAACGTTATATAATTTTATATAACGTGATTTGTATTTTTATTTTAATATACAAATTATTGAACTTTTATTTTTATTTTTATCAGGAATTGCTTACTGTCTTATCCCCATTTTATTCGGCTGCTTTAACACTTTCTTCATCTGTATATCCAACAATGGGTGATTTTCAACTTACTCTTTGGATTTTAAGACAACATTTACAGCATGAAATATCAGTTAATGCTACTCGAAACGTTGTGGCTGATGCTGTACTTCGTATTTTGGATCAATATTGGTCAATTATCGATGATACTTCAAAAATTGCTTCCGTGTTGGATCCACGTACAAAGTGCACAATTTTTCAACAAGGATCAGAAACTGAAAATGTGATAAATTCTATTCGGGCCATGATGGCTTCTTACACGCCTACATCTTTAGATATTCCTGAAAGCTCTAACTCTGTTATAACACCTACATCAGATCCAACACTCTTATCATCGTATCATTCTCCAACATTTAATAGAATTGATGCTCGAGCACATCTTAGATCTCTCACAAACCAATTCCTTCCAGTTACACAACCTATCACAAGCAACGAGTTAGAACAATATCTTTCTTTTCCTGGTGGTGAGGATTGTGAACCCTTGATATGGTGGAAAGCCCACAAAAAAAAGTTCCCGGTTCTTGCCGCGATGGCGCAAGATTATCTTACGATTCAATCATCGAGCGTTTCTTGCGAACATGCTTTTTCCATTTCCAGTTCAATTTTTCACAAATCACGAGGTAAGCTAAACCCAGAAATTGCCCGACCACTTTTGTGTTTACATAGTTGGATAATTGAAAAGATTGGTGAAAATGGAGGTATGGATGATCAAGCGAGTAGTGATGATGATAGTAATCTAAAGGTTGAAATGAAAACAGATAACATTGGTGAAAAATAAGGGTTATATTTGACCTGTTTTTTCTTAATATAGCTTTTTTTTTTTCTTTCTTTCTTTTTTTAATTCGTTGATTCGAATACTTTTTTTTTTTTTTTTGTTTTAAATTAAAACTGATTTTGGCAAATGGGTTATAAAAAGTCGATCGATGTTTTCCTAAAGCATAGTGTATTTGTTCATTTATTTTAAAATTGAAAAGACTAGTTGTATTAAATTGTTAAGACTGTTTATTATTCGTTTAATATAAACGCATATAAACTTACTATTGATCTACCTACACAAAAAAAAAACAATTTAGGGGTTATATAACTGATAAGGTTTAAAGTTGTAGATTACGTCTTTATCATGGTTATTGAATAGCTTATTGAGCAGTCAAATATTCATATATATTTGCAAAATCATCTACTAGATATATGGGTTACGCCAAATTAAAACCCGTAAGTGAAATTTAAATTTACACTGTACCGGAGTTAATCGACTAGTCGTTTTTGTAAACACAAAATGTAGTATCAAGTAATCTGTGAATACTTTAAAATGTTACCAAATAACTAATATCGAAACAATGAAACTTAAATTCACACTTAATAGTAAAATCTTTAATAAATTTGAAACCTTGATTTTATGAATTGAAACATGAGGCTGTATACAGGAAATTAAACTAATAGCATTAAAATTCAAAGTCCAATATTAAAATTGAATGGCAAACACCATAAGTAATGTATATGTAATATCTACCGTATTAAAACTAAGCTAATTAATTAATAAGTGTAATTTAAAAAAATCAAAACCATGCTGTATGAATGTACTAATAATAATCAGACGAGTCATAAGAATCTTCAAGAGTATCATTTTCTTCAGATGATTCAAATGTAATTGATTTTTCAGATGATGTCGATTCTTCAAATGAAGTTGATTTTTCAGATGACGAGTCTTCAGATAATGCCACTTCTTCAGATAATGCCGATTCTTCAGACAACGTTGATTCTTCAGACAATTCCAATTCTTCAGACAATGTTGATTCTTCGGATAATGTTGATTTAGATGATTCGCTTTCATCAGATGATGATTGTTCTTCATCGGATGAATCGGTATCAAGATCATCTGATGAATCTGTTTCATCCGTCGAAATAACGTGTTCTTCCTCAGATGTATCATCAAAATAATCTCGTGTCAATTCTTCAGATGAATCAGTGTCTTCTTCTTCTGAATCTAATGTAGAAATAGCTTCAATATAGACTTCATTTTCGTCTTCAGATGAATCGGATGAATCAGAAGCAACAATTTCAACACCTTCATATAACACACAATTTCTTAAATGTTCTCCTTTTAGCCAATCACCTAAACACCTTTAGCAATAATATAATAATAATAAATTTTTTTTTTCAGGAAATTTGTCTAAAAAAACGTAAAAATACTCACAACCAACAAAATTCCATAAGACAACTTTCAATTTTACATTTTACATGATCACATCCATCAATTTTTTGAATATGAATTCCACATTTTGGGCAAGGTTTAGTATTTTTTTCCAAATAAGTTTGGGATTCTATATCAACCTTACCAATTTTAGCATCATATTCTTGACATGTTAGACCTTCATGCCAAGGCGAATTATGGGTGTAGCAAGTTGCTCTTCCACATCTTTCACAAATCATTTTAGGTGCCTCATCTTTTTTATGAATGAAATATATAAATATATTAATGTTTAATTATGTTTAAAAGAATAATCTCGGATGTATTTAATAAATTACATGCCTCCTCCAATGTGAATTTGTCCAGAGCCACATTCAGGTCCTTGACACCAACGGAAACCAGGTTCTGATTGAAGAGCAAGTTTTAAACAAACATCATCAAATCTACAAGATAAATTAACGATACTAAGGTAATTTTCTGAAAATTTAACAATAATTAAAATAATAAAAATAACAAATTACTTGAGAAAAAGTTCATTAGAAACAACACGTTTAACATCCTGGTATTCCATTGTACTATCACATTCATCAACGAGGCATTTGATCAATATATTTTTTTGGCTTAATTGATTGTTCACATGTTTATTAATACAATCTTGACAAGTTGATGGTTCATGAGTACATTGAATTGTCATATTCAATATATTGTCTTTTTTATCACAACAAATAACACACTCGAGATTTTTACAAGTCTTTGTCATTTTAGATAGTTAAAAGGATATGTAAAGTAATTTATCGTTAAGAATCTTTTTAGTGCTTACGTAGCCTACGTATCAAATTTTTTTTTCAGTTGAGATCCTTTTCCTAATCTCTATTAAAAAAGATTAAGTATGTTTAATCGTAATTTGTCCAGTATAAAGGAAGGAGGGAAAGGATTCGGTGATTTTAAGATCTGCGATCGAAACTGCACATCACAGATACAGATCATATTTATGTTTTCTGCAGCAATTACAGAATTGTTTACAAAATTCCACGGTCAGCGCAAATTCACGTGGCATTACCAAAATAATCTATAATGCAAACATGGTTTTTCTATTAATATCGAGAAATAAGTTACTGCTCTAGTATAAAGTTATCTTTCTATACGGAACCTTTATATGCCGAACTCAGAACACAGATATAGTAATAACTAACTAAATTCAGAACAAAATAACTTATATTTACTATAATTCTTGTGAATAGTATTCTGCGTTTCCTACATTCGTAGAGTTGATTAGACTCTAGATTCCATCAAAATTGACGAACATTGTAATAATAAATTTAACCTATTAGAATAATAATAAACACACAAATACAATTAGTACTATGATAAAAAACTAAATATCTAATACTTAGAATTGGCAATTTTGCCACTTACCAAAAAAAAAGTTAATAAGGAACTGAATAGGCCTCAATAGATAAGTATTTATTGAACTCTATGGACTTTATTGGATTTTTCATTGAGTCTATTGCTAATATCTATTTGTAGTCTGGTTTTAAATTTGTTATAACTAATACTACGTATCATTTAATATTTTTAATTATTATTTAACCCAATTTAGTTTTACCTATACATGGGTGCCTAAATTGCCTATCTTAATAAAAAAGTAAGGCAGCCGAAATTATTCTTATATAGTGCCGAAATTAATTTTCATATTTGCCGAAATTATTGCCGAAATTTTTTGAACTCTTTTCATCAGAATACACCATATAATATAGTTATTTCGAAGGGTTTCATATAAAAAATTTGGCAATGCCGAAATGCTTGCCGAAAATACGATTTTACAAAAATAATTTAGACACCCATGAATAGTTTTACCGTTATCTATCAGATATAAATTAAGTTTACTTAGATAATTTAGACTATATATATATATTACTGTATATAATAATTTTTATATATATATATATATTTAAAATGTTATTTTTAACTATTTTATTTTAAATAATTTTATTATCAAATAAAATTTAATTATAATTTACAAAATCGTCAAAATTTTATATCATTATAAATATTTTGCTATAAAACTAACTATTGTTTGAAAGAATTTACTTCTCACCCAGGTAAATTATTCCCATTTTTAAAAACTACTTCAATACTTGCAACAAACCAACTATTATAAGATTATGGTTAGGGCTAGAGTTAGAGTTAAGATTAGAGATGGGCTTAGAATAAAATTGTATGAGAATCTTTTTTTTTGAGCCTCGAAAAAAGTAGGTTTATTAAAATCTTATAATGTGGGTATCAACCTGGTGAGAAATAAATATACTATTATTATTATTATTATAATTCTTAATTATATTTAATAATTTTAACTTAGGCCATACAAACTTAATAATTCGGTTTTCATAACATAAAATTTTAAAAGTGACCCGGCAACCCGGCTTTTTATTTTATTTTCAAAAAATTATATATATAATTTTAAAAAAACTCGCCCGGATAGTAAATATACTAAAAATTTTTTTTCCAAGGTTTTGTAAATTTTGACCCGGCCGGGTTATGAAAACCGATTTATTAAATTATTAAATTTGTATGGCCTTATTAAAATTGTTTTAATCAGTTTATTATTTTGATAATAAAATTAATTATATAGTAAATTATATTTATAAAAAAATTAAAACACAATACGTACAGTAATTAAATTAGATAAATAGCTAATCCAAGAATATAAAAGTTAATTTAGCAATATGTTCCTATTTGTGATAGCAACTATCTTTTACGTATTCAGAAATACTTGAGAGTGTATCATATCCCTTAAATTGTTATACGTATAAATTTGGTTATATCTTTTAAACATCTTTGAAAATGTTTAATTTCATATTTTTGGCTTAAATAGCCAACCAAAAGACGCCAGTATTACAGTAGATTAATTAATGCATTTGTGATTAATTGGTTTTCATAACCCGCCGGGTCAAAATTGAAAATTTAAAAAATTTTTTTATGGTGTGAATTTTTAAAAAAATTATCGTTACATAAATTTAAAAAAAGTCAGCCGGGTCTGTTCATGTTGTGAAAACTAAAGAATAACTTTTTATGACCTTACGCAACCAATACTCAAGATTTACAACTACAGAATGTCAAGATCAATAGCAACATACTTTACGAAAAATTATGCGTCGCTACCATAGACCTTTAAATCATGAAACTGCACGATGGCCATATACTTCGCACTTATTAAATTTTAATTTTTAAAATGCCTTTGCATCTTACGCGATATTGATTTCTGATGATATAGCAATTTAATCTAGCAAGCATTTATTACATATTAGTATATTTATGATAAACTTCCATAGTTTTGGTTCCATGTTTGATATAATTCCAAGTCGCGATCGCTAACACTTGCACGAACTATAATTTATAATTAATTTTATCAACTGATTTCGATTTAATAAAAATTAATATCCGTTTTACATTCCATTCCAAAAATTTATACGTACCTTGCGTCAACGCGTTTAAAAAGTCTTGGTAATTTATTGGTCGGACATCGTCCGCTATTTAAATGAGTTAAAATTAGAATATAAATATTTTTAATTCTCATTTTAATATCGAATTTAGTTTAAAAGATTGAACCTGAAATATTTCTTATATCTTCGATTACGCGTATTGGCCCCAGTGCAGCTTCTGAAAAATTCGGCAACATTTAATTACCGTAATTATGCAATAATATAATTTTTATTTAAGTAACCTTTTACCTCTACATAATCCATCCATATCTGACCCAGAGTATCCTATCATAATTTGGTGATTAGATTACATACCGATACGTGATTACTTACAAAGTAATATGAACTAAAAATTTAAAATACCTGCAGTTTTCTCGCAAATTTCATGAATTTCTTGTTCTGTCAATAAGTGGTTTTGTTTCTGTAATAAATTTTTTATAATACCATATCTTCCATCTAATTCTGGTAAAGGAATATAGAGCCTTTTACGAAACCGGCGTCCTTTTATAAAAAAAATAAAAAAATAAAAACGCTATTTCAAAGGAATATATATAACGTTAAAAAATCATAATGGATAATTTACGCGCAGCTTCATCAATTTCTTGTGGCCTTAATAACAATTATTTACAGTGCGAAAATGTGAATATAAGTTGAACGCCAGATTGAGAAATATAATAAAAACAAATATCAATGCTTGACCTGTTGGTTGCACCAACAATAAGAATCCGATCCTCTTCTAACCCAGCGGTTTTTACACCATCCTAAATTTCTTAATCAGTACAATGAATTGTTTATATATTTTCTAATGAAAACCAAAGAAAATCCTCACAAATTGAACCAAAAACTCAGTTTTGATGCGCCTCGAAGATTCAAACTCGCCATCAGTTCTTTGAGTTAGTAAAGAATCGATCTAATTTCGAAAAAGTATAAATCAGGTAATACGAATTTAATACGAAATTAAACAAAGCATTTCGTTTACCTCATCTACGAATACTACAGCGGGTTGATTCACCCTTGCAACAGCGAATAAAGCGCGAACCTAATGAACAAATCTCCATTGTTATTTTATCAAATACAATTGGATAATTGAATAATATGTTATATAAATATATTACCATTTTTTCACCATCACCGACCCATTTCGAAGTTAAGGATGAAGAACTGGAAAATTATTGTCGGAAATTTTTTTTCATTTATTTCGGTATAAAAATCGCAAATAGCAATTTTTTTTTTTTTGCTACCTTATACTGAAAAATGTTGCTCCCGATTGACTTTAATACAACAGCAGAATGTTAGCGGTTAACTAATGCATTTATACTTTTCCACAAACATTGTTATATTACCTGGCTATGCATTTGCCAATGAGAGTCTTGCCTATTGTATGTCCATGTTAAACCGTTATTTACAGAAAGTTCGGTTTTTATTTCGTGCTACAGATTAAATTATAAATTTACCGGTTCCTGGAGGTCCAAAAAGCAATAGTCCTATACATATTTTTTAATCAATCTAAGTCTTATATTTACAAGAAATCAGAAGCGAGCAACATGATAAACAAACCTTTAGGAGGGCCTCTTAACCCTGTAAAAATATCGCTAGTAAAAAAAGTTTTCTAGTGTTATCTAGTCATCGCTTTTCTAAAAGCATCAAACCAATGTTTGTCTAAATATACTAACGGTCTTAACATAGGCCATGTGACGGCCTCTTGAATGGTTTTTTTCGCATGTTCTAATCCAGCGATATCTTCCCAGGAAATGTTGGGAGTCCGATCCATAATCTATCGAGACAAAAAGTTAGAATAAATTTTTGCATCTAAATAATCAATGTATAAAATCTAGGACCTCATTTTGGATCATTTCGATCATTTTTGGGTCAATATTTTTTAATCTACTGTCAATTTCTTGTTCTTTCTCAGTATCACAACATTGTTTTCTATCATTTTTATCTCTTTTTAACCCGAAAGATGAACTATATTTTATAATACAAGCAAATCGTGAATAAACAACATATACAAGTCATTTAAATATTTAAAACCAATAATTGCAAAAGAATCAAAACGTACGAATAATCGTTTTTGTGCATTTTCGTTCCACCACCAAGGCCTTCATTTCGTTTCAATAGAGGAGATATGAACCTTCCTTTTTTAGTGATCTGGCTTGATGTTCCTACGGCCCTTTTTTTATGAGCTCCTGGTATGTGAGGTTTGTCAACAAAGTCATTAAAATTATTATACAGTGGACCTTGATTATAAGGTGGAGAAAAACGGCCTTTCTTCTGATTTTCAATCACCTATGTAATTTATCAAAATAACATACATATTATATATAGGTATATACAGTATATGAATATAAAATTTAATACTGTATAATTTATCATAACATTATTGTACCATCTGTTGCTTTGCAGTAATGAAAGAACCATGCTGAATCATAGAATGATCATGTTGGTCGTTGTCGTCATTTTCATAATTTACATTCATTGGAATAGTGTCATTTTTTTTCATTTTATAATTTTCCAAGTACTGCGGACCCTGGTCGAAAAGAAAACATGTTGAGTTTATCAAAGTATTACCGCTATGCGCGATTGTACTATATATCGTTAATATTAAAGAAGATATATATACTCTTATGGTATGTAGTTCATTGGGAAATCTCTCGTTATATATATTTAAAGGATCATTATCATCCATCATATCTCTGTTAGATTCATTTGATTGTGCAGGATTTGATGCCTGTAGATTCCCCGAAAGATTAGTCACATCGCGTTTTGGAGGAATCTTGGTAGTGTCTGCGTCAACTTTATCATCTTTAAACGATGATGATACGCTTGCATCTTGTACAGCACAATCGTTTATATAATCAACCAAGAAACTTAAATCAGGTGGTTCCATAAAGTCATAATCATCTTCAACAACACATTGCTACAAAAGATATCAAAAAAAAACACGACAGACAGTCCTAGAAATTCTTAAAATAACTAAACTCTATTTTTAAAAAAAATTAATTACCATATTAACAAAATGTTCCATCTTTAGTTCTGATTTGAACTCTTTAATATTACTTATGCTCTTTACTCCTTTCTTTTGCGCTTTCTTTAAGAGTTTTTTATTTACTTCATCTTCAATTATTTCAGTTAAATTTACCATATTATTTCCATTTTCTTTACTTCCAACCCAACATTGATCATATTTATCCCATACTTTATCCATTAAATGCTCTGCTTCGTGATGTGACACGAAATCAGAATGAGCATTGCTTAATACCATAAGGGATTTACGAAAATTCGTGGCAGCATTACGAATATTATCATGGGAGGTTTTTTGATTCTCTTGCGAATTAGGAGTCGTACAAGCTGACAAAAAATAATTTTCACCAGTGAAATAGAATTTTTCAAAGAAGTGATGATTTAATCGATCTTTTTGTTCTTTATTCATAATATAAGAGTTAATTTTAAAATATTTGGAATTTATAAACAAGCAACCGTGTATATGATCTTATGATGAATTATTTATCATGCAACATTATTTTATTCGTATGTAATTTGAAGCGGCGAAAATATTTTATGCTGTATATTAAATTCTTCTATCGTCTTATGTAGTCTTTTATATTAACGTCGTAAGTGGAGATGGAGTTTAAGTCAATTCGGAATTATTCAGGATAAAGATTATCTCCCACTTATAACAAGTACAGTACTATAATTAACTTATCATTAGCAATTAATATTTTTTTTTTTATTTGGCGTTGCAAGCTTTTAAAATTTTCTACTACGTTCTGTGCATCTAAATGCAGTGTTTTAAGTTTAATTATTTGAAAATAAAGGTAGGAAATAAATAGATCTGATTAAAAGGCAATGGTTATTTAATCTTTGGTAGTTTGCAAAATAATATTAAGGTAATTTTTTATAGGTTCGTCTTTGTCCTCCACCATTTCGATCATTTCTTGAACAAATTTTTGATTAAGTTTGTTAATGATAGCGTTAGTAAAAAATTTTGTGAAACAATGTTTTGGATTCGTGTAATGTTTGTAGATATATTTATGTATTAATTAAATAAGTTTTCAAATAGTTTTTATTCGCAAATATCGATATATTTATTTAACATTAATACACATTAGTGGTAGATAAAAAATTTACTTAGCCGTTCTGATTTATTTACATACAATTAATAACTTTTCATGGCATAATTATTTCTACTAGAATTACGAATTAACTGACTTAGGGTGTTCTCAAGTGCCTTAGTCAATCGATCGGAATAGGGTCGGGGGCAAATTTTAATTAATAAAAAATTG